ACGTCCCACTCCCCTCCTTTAGGTTCCACTCGAGCTATGGCCTGACACGCGATGTCACCCAGCGGCCTCCTCAGCGAGTGTCCAATCCATCTCCACTTTCTCCTGCATATTTGTTGGGCGATTGGTTCTTGTTTTGTTTGTTCCCATAGTTTCTTGTTGGTGATTCTTTCCGGCCATCTGATCTTCAGTATAGAACGAAGACAGCTGTTGATAAAGGTCTGCAACAGGCTGTCGGAAATATTCTTTGTGATCCCCCGCCAAGTTTCTGATCCATATAGAAGTGACTTGACGTTTGTATTGAAAATCCGAATCATTTTGTTGTTGATGCTGGTTGAGTGACGAAGATTTCCAGATTGGTTTCAGGTTGATGAATGTGTTTCTCGCCTTCCCGATTCTCGATTTGACATCCTCGTCCGTTCCTCCTGTAGTTGAGACAATGCTCCCTAGATAAGTGAATGAAGTAACCTCTTTCAAATCCCTCCCGTTGATGGTGATTGGCGCTGGATGTTGCTGCTGTTGTTGTTGTTGGTTGGTTGGTTGGTTGGTTATTTTCATAACCTCCGTCTTGTCTATGTTCACCTGGAGTCCTGTCTTCTCTGGCTGCTTCTTCGACCAGTTTGTCGGTTTTCGCTTGTAAGTCTTCGATTTTGTGTGACATCAAACATAAATCATCCACGCGCGAAATCCAGGTCTTCTAGGTTCTTCATGTCGGTCCAGGATATCCCTGTCTTCTCGTTTCCCACTGTCTGACGCATAATCCAGTCCACCACAAGTGAGAATGGGAAAAGCAAAACAAACTTCCACTACTCTGTAGTCAGTGTGAAAATCTGCAGCATTTACCACCATGAGGAACAAGATCTGAAAATAGCAACTTGGTTCAAGAAACCTGGCGTGCTACATAAAGGCTTTCCAACAGGCTACTCTGAACATTCATCAACAGCTGCTTTCACTAGCTGCATCCTGGGGATTAAATAGCTGGTCAGAAGGGATAAGCAACGAGCAAAATCTGACATTCAGAACAAGGAATTGGAGAAGGACGGGACATACACTGAAAATAAGACCGTCGAGTAATATCACACTCCTGGCAGGTCCTTCAGTGGAACGCGAATGGGAAACGACAAGTTCGATGTGAGTCCAAGGGTAAAGCAGAAGAGGTCATGTGATAAGAAGATGAAAGCATATGGTCAATCGGGGAGCCAGCTAAACATGACAGCAGGGAACAGATTGATGCGGTGATGTGATGCTTAGCTCCTGTGTTCCACTCGAAATGAAAGACGATCATGATATAATATAATGATGACAATACAAAAATCCTAATATAATATATTCTACTATATGTGTAGGAAAATAAAATAATACTTTGAAGGATGTAGTTTAAACTGTATAATATTTTTTTCTAATTATCAACCGGCTTCTTTTTCATCATCTATAAGGATGAGATGTAGATAAAAAAAGATCAAAAGATTCAGTCGTCTAATCAATTTACCCATGTAATTGATAAATAAAAGTCTGAAAATGACCTGAATTTTGGCTAATTATTTGAAATTCACGATTTTCTGCTTCTTTTTTTATTACTAATCATATTGGATCTAAGTTATTGGCCACTATTGATGGACAGATTACCTTAAATGCGCCGAGAACAAACGCTCATGATGCACATTTCATCTTATCTGGGAATTCAGTCATGAACTGATATCGGTTAGAGAAGTATTGGAAAACCAACTGGGAGTACTGGACAGCCGGTTCATCCTAGTTTGGGACTCTTCAGCAGTACGCACACACAGCTACAGGATAAGCTCGTAGACTATCCAGTCACTGGGAACGGATCCGATGTCCAGCCCATGAATTCCAAATTCTGTCAATTCACGATATGGAGCAACCACTAGCGAATGTCATCGCTGGCGGGTATTTCTCCCTGCCTCAAATCCCTGCAAACCAACACTTGAATAGCAATCTGATGCTCACCAGTGACTGGCCCTATTCATGTAGATAGTTACCTCAGTTCTAGTGGGAAGTCGTGACCAGTAAGGTACAGCAGGTCGGGTGTGAGGACAAATACTCGCCAGCGATGACATTCACTAGTGGTCACGCTATTTCATGAATTATCAGAAGTTGGAATTCATGGGCTGGACACTGGATCGGGTCCCAGTGGCTGAATGGTCTACGAGCCAGTTCATCTTGTAACCAGAAGGTCGTGGGTTCGAACCCTGGCTGTGTGTGCATACTGCTGAGGAGTCCCAAACTAGTGGTGAACAGCACTCCCTGGTGGTTTTTCAATGGTCCACTAACCGATGTCAGTTCATGATGAAATCCTGAAACCAATCAGATCCCTTCATAAACCAACACTTGATTATCTGGGAAGTATTAACCGTCTACATGTTGATCACTAACCTCCGCCAAAAACTTGGAGTGAAGTCCAAGCTAGTGATGATTCCTAGCATGTTGAAACTGTAGCTTAAATGTACAGTTTATCAAAGTAAAGTTGTAGTGGCTGGACCTGACTTTCTTTTGAGTACAACAACCAGTGCTGTTTTAGAGTATTCGGTATCAAGAAACCTTTGGTAATTTATTCAACAACCAACAGATGATAGAGAAAGATTCTTCAATGTTAGCCAGCTTTTGTGGCCTATTTGGACGAGGTGGTTCAATTTAGAACTGTTGATAATTTTTACCAACATTTTTATTTATCCACACTGGCAGGTTTAGTGTTCCTGAGCACGAGGAATAAGGCCTACTTCGCTGGCCACATACTGCAGATTAGAAAGAATTACCGACGAGAAACTCTGGATAGCGACGGTGGCACAGCGGTTAGGACGCTCGCCGACCATGCACTTGGTCTGGGGCTCGATCCCCAGCCGACGCGCACCCGATATCAATGGTTGGCCTGCAAAATTTGAGCTACCGATATCGCATGCTGTAAATTTCATACTTGTATCAAAAAATACTATATGGAGTCAAGCTGTAATGAAAAAATTAACCAACCAATAGCCACTTGCTCAATGACAAATATGTAGATGGATTGGGCATACTCTAGTTTAGGAGGCCGTCAAGTGACGCCACGCGCAATGCAGGCCACTGTTCGAGTCGAATCCAAAGGGGAAGTGACGAGTGGGTTGTCAGTGCGAGGGTGACATGGAGGAGATCGTGTGAGGAGGAGATAAGAGATTATGGTCAGTCATGGAGATATCCAGCTGAAAAGGACGGCAGAAAATAATATAATGTGGAGATATGTAGTTGAAGCCGCATGTTCAAATCGGAAACCAGTGGAATGATAAAAATAATACATAATAGAGAAGATTTGTAGCTCAGGTGGATGATTTGCAATTAACAGTGTTCTCTGAGCTGGTTGGTTTAGTTGCGATGCTTTCGTCGTCCTTCTGGACAACATCTTCAGCGCCATATTTAGCACAAAGTCAAATGATTTAGATTTCTTCATGGGTGATGTAATTGCGTCTCCCAGTAACCATCTTTACATATGTATTGACCATTTTCTATTGACTTGGATTTTAAACTTTAACAATTAACAAACACGTTAATATAGATGAAATATACCAACTAATAAAAAGTAAATCAGGTGACGAAAAAGTTTAAAATCCAAGTCAATAGAAAATGGTCAATACATATGTAAAGATGGTTACTGGGAGACGCAATTACATCACCCATGAAGAAATCTAAATCATTTGACTTTGTGCTAAATATGGCGCTGAAGATGTTGTCCAGAAGGACGACGAAAGCATCGCAACTAAACCAACCAGCTCAGAGAACACTGTTAATTGCAAAAATAATACATTTCGACAAGGTGAAATTTCGTCACAGTTTCCTTTATACACTAAAATTACTCCGATCACAATATGTGATCTGTCTGATACTGTGAATGATGGTCAAGAAAACAAACAAAGATATATGACACTCTATACTACACATTGATTAACATCGGACGAATACTGCGCTTGTTTGAGGCTCATTCATTATCTGAATAACTTCACTTCACTCAAACTGTAAATTCCGGAACTCAAATTACTCTGTAAATTAAAAATTTGATAGAAAAAACAAACAAGAAGCGCTCAGCAAACATGTTTTTTTCAATAATCTCATCCTCAAAAGAAACTGTACAGTTTCACTTATATACACAAGTTTACGTTGTTACAATTATTATCCAATTCAACACAGTAACGAAGAGAGATTAAAACTGATAACAATTTTCAACTTCATATGAAAGTTTAAAGGTGTGAGTTTAAATCAAAAGGGGTATGGAAACAAAATTACATAGGATTAGAAAATAGCTGAGTAATATTCAAAAAGGCTTTTAATGAAGACAGATATGTAAGGGGGGGGCTGCACTGAAACAAAATGAAGTAACACTTTTTAGAATTAAAGATGAAAAAAAATGAAGGGAATGAATAAAAGGATGAGATCCATAGCATGGTAATTATAGAGGTTGAAATAGTTTATTTTGAACAAATAGTATCGATATATATATCCAAACCAAGTTCACTTTTAACGGTTTAAAAAAATTTGGGCATTGGGTATATGATATTCATTATAATAAAGGTTTTTGTATTTCCCAATGAATGAAAAACAAAACGATATTGTTTTTACTGACGTTTCGCTATTTAATGCTTATAGCTTTATCAAAGTATTATTAAACCGGAATTTACAAAATCTCAGCATATATATAACAAACAGTTAGGGGGTGAGAAAATAGACTTAGGTCAAGTTAAAGGGGCGTATTGAAAGTAAAATTAGCAATGAAGATCACTAAACCAAATAACAAAGGTAATAGTACATCTGTTATGATATCAAAATAAAGTTTACTAACTTGATCATCGTTCGTCAGTCTGGGGGCATTTTTAGTTGTCAAGTTGGTCATTTGGTAAAGATAACAAAATCAAGTGTGGATTGTTGGATTTGATCGATATGTAAAATTATAAAGGTAGTGTATGTTTACATAGTGAAGTTGCTTATCACATTCGTGTTGATTTTGTCACTTGATGGGGGAGGTAGGTGTTGTAACCAGGTCAAATTCTGTTTTAGTCCATCAATCCTATTCAGGCAATTTTGATTCCACTTGATATGAAGTGCTTCTGATGAAATGAGACGTTCTTTGTGATTTCTGAAGTTTTTCTGGAATATTTCAATATTGTCAAAATCAATTTTGTGACCTGATTCTATAGTATGTAGACCTATGGCCACAAATTTGATTTTGACAATGTTGAAATAATCCAGAAAAAATTCAGAAATCACAAAGAAAGTATCGATTTCTCGATGCATATGGCTAGGGCTTCTGTAGTACAAAGAAGACAAAAAAACACAGCCTCTGGAAGATTTCTATCCACTTTGTAAATAACTCTGATCTCCTGATGCGTATTTTTGATGATTTTTGAATTTGATCCCATGTTCACTTAAGTAACTAGCCAGAAGTTCGGTGGTTTGAAATGATTCAGAGCTCTGAGCTGAATCAGAACCCGCTATACTGCTTATGACCTCCGGCCCAAAAGACTGAAACAGCTATCAGGGGTTTACTTCACTTTGATCCGGCAAGTACTACTGTTTGATATGAGCGATACGCAACTACTCATATAAATAATTCAGTAGTACACAGAGTGATTCACTTATGGGAATTAACCTAATTATAGGGTAAAGGGTTAGAGAACTAATGCAAAAAGTCAAACGCTTGAAAATTAATCTACTCCTCAGTTGATGACTGGCCACAGGATGAATATTCTGGAGTTCTAGTGAGAAATCGTTACCAGTGATATCTCACCTTAACGAGTATGATGACAGATACTCAACGATAAAAGAAAGGCTGACAATCTGGCCATTATTATAAAATGTGAGAAGTTAGAATTTATTGGGCTTCTAGATTTCTTCCCTAGTTGGCTCATGCATACGAACCTCATTCGAAAAAAAGCTCAAGAACCAAGAAGAAACAAATGTCAACTGTTTTGATTTCAAGTTGAAATTGATGTGAATGTGTTATCGTCACCATCATAACTGTGAATAAATGTCATATTTAGCAGACAGCTTAATTCTTCTGCTGTCTTTCTCCATTGTCTTACACAAAAGGTATAAAAACAGTAATGGATTAGTTAACTTTACTTAATCTTTTTGACTTTTCACATGTATGTTACGTTTCAGTTAGTTTTTTTTCTCTATTTTATCGAAGCGTACATACAAACGATTCATTTTGAAGATTTTCTTAATGTTTTTTTGAACGCGCGCAAAATATTTTTAAAATGCGCGCGTTTAAAACAAAACCCCCTATTGAAACAATTGAAAACAGTAACAAATAGAATTGAGTTATATAAAGAAAGAAAAAATAAACATGTATATTAGGAAGTAGTATATTAAAAAATTCTTTTTAGGAAAAAGGTAAAAACATTTAATGACATTTACATGGCCTTATTTTTTGAATGGGTTAAAATTGACAATTTAGTTACATGTGTTTCAACATGTTTTTTCTGTGTCGCATTTCATACTAAACTTTTGTTTGTCTATGTTCTGTTATTTCTTCTTCTTTTTCTTCTCATTCCTGGTTTCATTGCTTCTCTTTGTTCTATTGTTCTTCACTGAGAGGTGGGGTGTTATACGTATGCAGGGGGTATTGAAGGAAACAATCCCCCCACCCACCACTCTGACTATTGTTGTAAAAGAAAGGAAAATGCAGTCGTCTTTCCTCGCACGGACACACACAGACACGCACGCACGTGAATGTATCATTTGTACAGAAGGTTTTGCACATTGTACAACATCTTATCAGTTAGGGGCATAGTTTATGTCATAAGAATATGTTAATTCATGCATTCTACTACTACTAATAATAATAATACTTGATGTGAATACATTAATGAGACTAATTTGATTTCCAAGTCTCTCCCTGTTTCTCTCTCTCTTTCTCTCGAACATTGTTTTTATTATGTTTGGAATGAAATAAATTCACCGATTTGTTTGTTTCCATCAATTCAGAAGGCATGAAGTAGCTCATTGGAATTCGCCTACTTACATTTTTGGCTGAAGTGAATGTCTTCTCCGGCAAAGACGGTGTTTCTCAAGTGATGCTTAAGACATCAGAAAGGTATTATATAAGAAAGAGTCCACTTACTGTTTAGTTGCATATTTAATCGAACTAACCTCTCTTGACATTAATATTCAAAGTATTAACCACTTAATAATAATAGTAATCACTTTATTCCAAGCAGTAATAATAATAATTATACAGAATGGAATTCTCAGCGTTTTTATACATATTACAACAATTTTGTTCCTTTTATAACTGTGTACATACATAAGACTTAAAATAATAATAATAATGAAACCACTATAAAAAGAATGTTTGTGGCAACATATTGAAGTATGATGGAGAAGATTTGTAGCTCAGGTGGATGATTTTGATGTGGTTGTGTTCTCTCACCTAGCTGGATAGTTAATTTGCGAAGCTTTCATACGTATCCATGAACATAAGCTAGCCGTCAGAGGACATAATAATAATAATAATTTACTTTATTCCAAAAACAGTACTTATAATACAGAATGGAATTCTCAGCATTTGTCACAATATTGCATCTGATTTACTCAAAGTGTATATAAAATTAAAATTAAAAGAAAAATTAATCGGAGGAATTTGTCCACATTTACGACATAATTATTAGATATAATAATAATAAATACTAATAACAGTGAGTTTGTTTCAAGCGGTATTGTCGATTCAGTTTGGAAACTTTAGCATGTTATGGATAATTGGGTCTAATGTTCTGTTGATATGGTATAGTAAGGTGAAATACAAAGTTAACAGTCATAATACAGCTTAAAATTATGTCCACACTTATGAAAAATAAAATAAACAAAACGAAAAAATTGAGAGGATTATAAATATAAGAAATACAATAACAATAAAGTATGATGCTTTAAAAGTGAAGGAAATGGTCTATTTAGTGGTGCTAAGAAGGTTAGTTAGTTCATTTCTGACGCTATTTTCATCACATAAAGTACGTGCTAAATATGGTATAGTGGAATTTTTATACTTAGACGTACGTGCATAAAGTCTTCTGAAAAGACTTCTTGTTTTACCTGAGGAGACACAAGGTTGGAGCTGCGGGTAGAGTGGGTGCTCAGAGTCTGACAAAATTCCTCTAGCGAATCTGTTGCATGACATCAAATGCCTATCGGTGACAATGCCAACGATATGGCCCAATGGGATACCACTCGTCCTACTGACAGTCTTCAGAGTTCTACGAAGTATGACATAGTCCTTTTTTAGCAATCCAGGAAAGAATAATGGTGAACAGTAAAGAAGAATAGGTAAAATACACGAGTTGATAAACTGTACTACATACAGACAACTACGGACATCAATTCGACTGGGACAACGTTCAAATATTAGACATAGGAAACACCAAGAATGCTAGAGAATTTTTAGAAGCCAGCCTGGTATTCCAGTGAATCGTCAATCAATAGACACATAGAGATAGACAAAATTTACCAACCGATTAGATGGAAATCTCACACACAAAGGGTCAAAGTTCAAGTCAAGGAAACAATCAGTACCAATACAAGTAGCCTAGATGGTGTGGAAACACACAGAAACAACTAATCATGTTCAAGGCCACCGGGAGAGATGACTAATAAACTCATGGAGAAATCTAAAAGCTCACTTCGACAAATTGAAGTATACGCTGAAGATGTTTCCTAGTAGGGCAATGAAAGCTTCGCAAATTAACTATCCAGCACAGAGAACACAACCACATCAAAAACATACTGAAGTATAAGTAGATAGTATCATAGATAGTACATGTAATATAATAATAATAATCTTTGCTTATATTTTGCAGTTCAGATTACTGATTTAAAAAGTTTATAAGTTCTTTTCTGACCTCTGACTCTTCACACAAAACCTGTGCTAAATATGGTGGTATGGTAGAATTTTTTACTTTTAGTTGTACGAGCATAAATGCTTCTTCTGGCTTTATAGAAAGTTGAGAATAAAGAGGATGTTCAGTATTAGACAAGATAACTTTAGCCAAATGCCTACAAGAATTGAGTTGTAATGCCTATCGACAATAATATCAGTTAGCTGGGTGGATGGCACACCACTAACCCTACTTACAGCCTTCAGTATTCCAGGTGATATGACATAGTCGTTTTTGAGAAGTCCAGAGAAGAATGAGGGAGAACAATAAAGGAGAATGTGTCGAATCCATGAATTAATAAATCGTGAGAACGGAGAATAGGTTGAGTTATGCCAGGAAGTTTCAGTTTCTTTATGTAATTAGTTAAACGAAAGATATCTTTCTTAAAAATCAACAGGATATGAGAACTATCTCAAACTCACGCATGCTGGTTTACTAGCGGTGCTGCTAAAAATCGCGAATTAACTAACAGGAGTTAGAATTCATGGACTGGTTGTTGGATTCAGTCCTAGTGACTGGATGGTCGACGAGCTTGTCACGTAACCTGAAGGTCCCGGGTTCGGTATCCGGTGGAATCATGAGTGCGTAGCTCTGAAGAGTCTCAAGCTACGACGAAACCACTGTCTCTGGTTTTCAATGGTTCTCTAACTGATTTCAGTCACCAGTCGACTACCTACAGACTCACACTTGAAAAGAAAGTTAATAAATTAGTGAATTCTAAGGTTCGAAATCTTAAATTGTTGGCGATTCAGTTATGTGTATAAATTATTATTGTTATTTATATCATTCCTTTGGGTTCCAAGTGGAACATTTGACCTCAGTAGAACATCTCCGTTTCACTCTGTTCTCTGTGGTATTTTTCTGGATGACTTCATGATTGCCTACAAGCTTTCTTTCATCCTCACACCACCTGCTTTAGTTTCATTATTTAGCTTCTGTTCGAGAGCCTGTTGGTGGTGTGATATCACTCAGTGGCTTCCTCAGCATAAATCTAGTCCATCTTCTTTATCTTCTTCTGAATATTTATTAGATAATAAGCACCTGATTGGTTCTTAGCCATACTTCCATTCCTGTCACCGGTCTGATCCTCCTTATCGT